GAGTGGGGGTCCTGGAACCGTGTTATGGTCAGTGTGGATGCAGCAGAGCTGCAGTTTAAAGCTTGGCTTTGACCCCGACCCTCACCAAGTGGTTTTGCTTCTCACCCCATACCTGGTTCCCATACTTCATCCTTTCACCTGGGTTTTAGTGCTAATGCCGAAGTTGCTTGGGTGTGTCTGCACACTTGCTGTGCCACCCTCCCTTTAGCTGTAACCCACAAGCAGTCAGCAAGCCCCCTGGAAATCTTCGCCCGTTTGTTTGATGTCCCTGCTGTGAAGAGATTCTTGGACCAACACTCCAGTCTTTGCTCACAACCCTCCATTTGCCTCGTCCATACTTTCGCATGTGCTAGGTTACCCTCGGAGCGCTTCGGCACCATAGGAACAGGAAGATAAACCTGTCTGAGGCGCACAGCCTCCGTGAGCTACGTGGTAGCCTCCATGGCTGGTGGGAAAGCCTACTGCAATCAATACACTTGAATTTGTCTATAGATTCCCACAGACACTTTATAGAGAAAAGCTTTGCCCAAGTGGGGCTCCTTAACTTCATTTGTAAGGCTCTGTGGTATGTGCTAGGTAGGTGGTCCTGGCAATGCTGGGACACGATTCACAGCTCCAGCGTGTCTGAAAGGCCCGTTCTGTGCTTCTGCAAAGAAGCGTTTTAGTGTGTTCGGTTGGTATGCTATGGATTGAGGGAAATCCCTTTGGCAGGGTGTAGTCTCACACAGACATGCACTCGTGCACACACATACAACGTGTGCACACACAAGGTGGGGCAGAGCACAGAGGTTCACCACACAACAACAGGAGCGGGGCAGGGACTCATCCTCCTGACTGCCTTCCAGCTGGGCTCCCTCTACACTGAGAGCGTTCTTTTAATATGGGGAATTCCTGGGAGGGCCGTGAAAAGCCTGGTCCTCTGACATATCAGCCCTCCCGAATGGCGCCTGCTGAAGGGTTATTACAATTTTACCTTTTCGTCCATAAAGTTCTTTATGGGACTTTTTTTTTCCAGGCTGCATTTTAATGCAACGTCCCCTGCCCCAGATGCATGAGTGAGGAGACAGAAAGGCCGTTTAAAGCTCTGGCCTTAGAATGGCCCTATTATGCTTCTCGCTGCTGTAGTGCCACTTGGACTCTGCTGGGTGTGGGTCTGGCTGTAGCTGCACGCTGCCTTCACTAACCCACAGAGAGGCCAGACCTGTGGTGTGGAAAGGGCAGAAGAGATGCCTTCCCAAGGAAGGGTGAGGGGCTGCTGAGCTGTGGCTTCCTAGCTGATCCCAAATCTTTGTACTTTGAATGTTTGCTAGAAGTGTCCCTTTCTGAATTAAAGGAACAGATTCTCCTTTTTAAGGTTTCAAGTATAAAGGTGACAGTGCCAGCGACTATCTGGGAACGTTTGTAGATCCTTCTTTTGTCATGGTAACACTTGCAGCAAAGATGACAGGGTTTTGCCAACGGCCTTGGCACTGACTAGTTTAAAACAGTTTCCTAAGGTTTAAATTACATTTTTATTTACCCTCAGGACTGAGGACCACACAGTTATCTCCCACAGAAGGGACATTGAAACTGCTGTTCCTAAAGCTTATATCACATTTGCTCACATTTGTTTTCCCAAAGAGTCTGTGGCTTAGTGGAGATCATAGGGGTGGCCAGGCTAGCTCACAGCATCTGTGGAAAACCTGGCTTGGAGATCACTGACTTTCAGTTTGCCAGGACTTTCTGAAAGGCTGAAAGCTGACATCCGAGTGAAAGCCTACATTGGAACCGTGGCCCACAAACCTCAGGGTGTGTCACAATCATGTGGAAGACTGGCAGACCCCAGTGTGTGGAGGCTGAGACTCAACAGTCCCAGCCAGGGTCCCAACGATTTGCATGCCACCCAAGCCCCAGGTATTCCTGCCTTGCTGGGGCTGGGGAGCATTCGACTGGGAACTACCAGTCTAGAGTCTGCTGGGGCAACTCTGGTCATCAAAGGTGTTGGGGCACAAGAGGACCTTCTGTCTGGTTGCTATGGGGATATGGGCTGAAGTATTTGGGGCTGCTTTCCCTCAGAGGAGCATGCACATGACTGTGGCCTGTTGAGGTGGCTGTGTCCTGCTTGCAGCAGGCTTCTAATGAGCAATCGATACAGTCCCACAAAGGCAGGGTGAGGTCAGGGGTAGACTCCAGCCAGATGTGGAAGAAGACAGCGAGTTTGGCACAACTGCATGATGCTTATGTCCCGCACAGAGAGGATTGCGGCGAAGGGCCAGGTGGGCCTGTGAGTATGTGTATGCATGTGTATAACTTCAGAGGTTATTTAAATCACTTCCCTTTGACAGTGTGCTGCACGCCTCTTCATGGCACCGGTGCTGGGTTGACTTTCCAGTCCCTTCTTCAGAGGGTTTGACAGTGGTTCGGTGAGTCTCCCTTTTTGAGGACAGCACCGTCTGTGAGGCAGAGATTTCGCAGGGTGACCAATGTCTTCTGAGTCATAAGGGCAGGTTGGGGTGACCTGTGTGACACAGAGGAGATGCACCGGCTTGTCCGAGGACTGTCCATGTCATTTGGGAAACACCTTTTGTCATTTGTCCAACAAACATCATGTGAAGAATGGTGAGCCCTGAGGGTGCTGTGTGTGGAGTCCCTGCTCTCACTGAGCAGGTGGAGTGAATAAGCGAGAAAACATGTAGCTATGGTCAGACACTTCTCACTTGCTGTGGACAGACATTTCTCACTGATTTGTGAGCAAATGAATGGGCAGAGTGAGAGCAAAGGGGCACAACGAGGGAAGGGACATTTAGGTGAGACCAGAAAGAGGCCAAAGAAAGAGGGAGCAGAGCACACCCCTGGCCAGGGCAGGTGTGTGGAGCTAGGGCTCATGCTCAGTCCTTAAAAAGGGCCTTTTTGTGTGTGATTGTTAGGAAAGCATGCAAGGCAGATGTTTTTGAGTCCATTTTGGGCTAGGGGTTATCATTTTTAGAGAACTTACATAATTTGCTGAAAGCCTTGACGCATCAGGTAGAGGGCAGAGACTTCACAGCCAGTGACCATGATTTGCTTCAAGCTGCAGCCCTCCTGAGACAGGCCTGGTGTGGTCCTCAGCCCCATGTCTCTTGTTGCTTCCCTTAAATGAGGTAATCGGATGGGGTGTTCTGATCCATACCACACAGTAACAAGGTAAAAACAGAGCAACAAATGCCTTGTTCAACAGAACAGTGTTTAGTATAATGCCACACACTCTGACAGGAAGCCAGCGTCCTCCTTAGGGGGACAGATTTCTCTCTCTCTCTTCTCTCTTTCTCCTCTCTTTCTCTGTGTGTATGTGTGTTTGTCTCTATCTGTCTCTCTCTCTTTCTCTCTGTGTATCTGTCTCTCTGCTGGGAATGAAGCCCAATGCCTCACATGCTAGGCCTTTCACTTCTGATTTCCTTGGATACTATTCAGACCATAGAAGCCAGCCTTGGGATTTGGTTGGAAAAAGCAGGCTATACCAGTGAAGCAGCCCAAATATGTGGCTCAGATGGGTTTTGCTTTTTAATCTCTAGAGAACCAGTTTTTCAAAGTGTCTACTGTGAAGTGATTTCTCTTTCTGGGTAGGAAGCACTGAATTGTCCAAGGGATGGTCCAGTGTGTATTGCCCTTTTGGGGCAGACATGAGTCATTCTTCATGTGCTGGTTGCCTTCAGAATGAAGGTTCACTGAACAGCCAACACTTGCATGTGTTGGGGTCACCTCTGATGTGGGTCTCTTTCTGACAGACAGGCTGACCTGCACTTCACAGTGGAGGACACAAGAGGCTCAGAGAGGTTAAGGAATTTTCCCAGGGCAGCACAGCTTATGAGTAGCAGAGGTGGGTGGTGAAGGCTGATGCTTCAAGTCCTTGGCCAGTGTTCCTGCTTGAAATCGGACGGTTTTCACGTGTGAGACTGAGAGGGTAGAGCCTGTAGGGGCCATTCCAGGTCAGTATCATGGGCTTTGGGGTCTCCTTCCATTACATCACTAATACTGGGGCCACAGCTGTGACTGTCACTAGACCTGTGGCTGGGCCTTCTGTATGCCATCCCTGCAAGTTCCTGGATACAGGTCTCCCTCTACCCTCAGTGAGCTCCCAGAGCAGGTGGTGGTGCCCCAATGCTAGATTCTGTGGCCCTTGCCCAACCCAGGGAACGAATGCGCTCATTGCAGAATTGAGCCTTTACTTTTAGAAAAAGGAAGGCTTAAGTAATTGGTACTGATGATGAGGCCAGAGGGCAGTGAGAGGAGGAACGCAGGGCCTGTCCCCACTTTTATACCGAAATTGCACTTTGCTTCAGAAGCAAGATATTCAAGGCTGGGCGTTTCTGGGTGGTTAAGCCATTTCTCAGGTGTGCAGACCTCGCTCCTGCTTTGTGAGGCTTTCTGGGCTGGGTTTCAAATGCCCGAGCTTGCTGCCTGGCATGTCTGAGCAGTCATGGTCCAAGGCTGAATTCCTTATGTTTTGTCTTTGCAATTTTTTTTCTTTCTCTGCTGAATGAGAAGAAAGTGCATGTTCTTTGTCTTTTCTGTACTCAATAAAATTCCAAAATCTTCTCATCGGACCCATTGAGTGGAACTGTGAGCACAGCAAGCCTGGGAGGAAGCAGGGGTCAAGGAGGAATCGCTATGGGCAACAGAGCTGCTTTCCAGGGGTGAGTGAGAGACACACAGCCGTGTTCAGGGACCATGAGAAGCCCTGAAGAAACTGCTGGGCACTGTTTTGCCAGCAGCACGCCTAGCCCCGGGCTGCCCTGACATGCCCAGTGCCATCCTCACAGTGGCGAAGCAAGGATTCCAGCTGGCTCTCTCCATAGAACCCTGTTGCAAATCTAACATTTCACACCTAACCTTGACTCCGGCCCCTCTCCAGACTTCTCCCCTGCACCCAAGTACGAAATGCAAAGGCCCTAAAGCCTGGATCACTAGCTGGTCAGAAACATTAATTATGGTTATAGCTGAGGTTATAACGGGCTGCAAAAATTTCCTGCTGTAATTGGGATGGAGACTCAACAGTTTTATTGAATGTCAAAAGCACATTATTCTACACAGCTGCTGGAGAGGCACCGCTGAACTGATGTTTCTCTTCCATGACAAACACCTATTAAGCAGTCAGCACAAACTCTTCCTTACAGCCCCTGACATCACCCTCAGGGCAGGAAGACACAGCACAGCAATTGCTGAATCACATATGAAAATTATAGTTTTGTTGTCTATACAACTGAAGGTTTAACTCGGACTCCTGCCTCCATCTGAGCTGGATAATGAAGCGATTCTGCTCGTGGAGAAAAATAAGCACAGTACACTATTGTAATCTACGAAACAGGCACTATTTATGTGTCATTTATGTGTCGGAAAGCCTTTCTCTCAATAGGGCTAACAGTCTTGTGGCCCAGGGGCCACTATGTTTGCAGCTGTACTGAGAGAGCTGTAGACGTCACAAGTAATGAGATGCTAGGCCAACGGGAGAAGATGAGTGTGGCATCGAGGGAGCCCCCCCCCCCCCCACCGCAGCAGCCCTGTCAGTTCAGTAAGCACGACTCATAGGTGGGCACCATGTACTTAATGTTGATGAAGGCGTCCTCCCCTCCATAGCGCTCGAAGGCTTCCAGGGTCTCCTGGATCAGGTCGCCAATGTTCTCCCTCTTCTGCTGGCTGTAGTCGATGCCATCCCCGGAGTTCACTGGTTCAGGCAAACAAACAGAGAGGCAGTTATTTCTCTGCGCTGTCCCGAGAGCCCCACCCCACAGCCAGGCATTTCCAGAGCGCCTGTTAGGAGACGCTGACAGGCAACACCTTCATGTTATCTTGCTGAAATGTGAGGCTGGCAGCATCAAGCAAATGACAAAACACCAAATCATGTATGATGGTGATGCCATACTTGGGATCCTAGCATCACCAAGCTGAGGCAGGACGATCACCATGAGTTTGAGGTTAGCTTGGCTTATATAATAAGACACCCTTCTTTAAAAAAGCCAACCAACCAACCAACCTACAAAGCGAATGACAAGAATAACAAAACACAAATCCAGGGCAGAGCTGGTGAAAATTAATATAAATAAAATCAACAAATGTGGAAAAAAATCATGGGATAAAGCCCCCTTTAAATTAGGAGATCTCTTTGTTGACTGCTCACTGAGTGTTTGCTCCCTTGGGTCCTGGCTTTATCAAAATCACAGCGCAGCACAAGCAGAGACTCTGTCTCTTGTTAGACCAGGCAGGTAGCCACACATAGCTCATGATGCACAGGCTGCAGAAGGATGGCTCCACTTAGAGCTGCAGCCTGTGTCTTTGTGGCCTCGTGCACACACTGAATCTATCTCTTGAGGGCTGGGGAGCCCTGGGTCTTTCAGTTATTTCCAGTACTTTGCTGTGGCTGCTCCTGAATGACGTGGGACATGTGATGACCCATCTTAGGGCTATGGCATGCCAGGGATTTAGTCTTGTAGCCAGTCCTGGAGCTTGCAAGTCCAGGGAGGCCCCACCGCAGCCCAGCCTCCCAGTCTGTTTGACCAGTGTGGCTGCCCTGCTGGTGCCAGGAAGGAAGCGCCTCCTAGGTGGCCTTAAAAACCTGCATCTCGCATATCCCACTCTGAGAACTCAGGCTGCAGCTACTCGGATGAAAGGTGCCCCTAGAGCGTGAGATGTCTGGAGGAACCCCAGTTCTGACAGAGGCACACCCCCTGTGCACTCTCCAGACTCCAACATTATTATGGGTTCTATTTACACTGTCATTACACACTTTTCCCTTCATCCTCAGATTTCCAGGGGCTTTAGTGTCACTGTTCCCGGAAGTGGAGAAGTAGCTCACATTGCTGGGTGACATAGGAAAGGGCCACAAGGTGGGCTTCTAGGAGATGGAGGGATGATGATGTGAGTTCAGGCCAGAGGATGCTCTGGGGCCAGGGCCAAGGGGGAGCACAGGACATCCTGAAACCATCCACCATGCGGAGGAAGGGCTTACTTTGCTTATAACCTTAGGTGCAACCTTCAAATGTTTACCCAGCTTGATGTAAAAATAGTGGAGGTTAAATTGGTGCTTTGGACTTCTCAGTTATTCTGGGACATTTCAGAAAGATCAGGTAATGGTTCAGGCCAGAAAACAATTACAGGCCCACACAGCACAGATAGAAACAACCCCAGCCAGCATGGACAGACAGATACTTCTTTCAGTTGATGGTTTCCAAAAAGCTTCTTAGAGAAATATGACTGTCTTAGATAAGAGAAAACAAACAAAACAAAACAAAAAACGAAATTGTCATTCTGAACAGTTTGTTGGGAAGAAATACAACAAATTTGCAAAAATGGAGTCTTATAGCTGTGGCACACATTACTCTATTCTATAAGGTGAACTTACAAAGGTTTACAAGACCATTTGTAATCAGGTGACTTCCTGCCCCCAACTCCCATGGTGTACACTTTCCCATCACATGTGAAGTTTGAAGTTTGACTCACAAAGTAGCTGGTTATTCAAAATGTCAAACATATGGAACACATCCATGAGCATTGCTCAAAACAGCATTTATAGTGTGGAGAGAATATTTATCAGCAAGAGAGAAGCATAATAAAGACTCTGATCATATTTTTAAAGACAACATAAATATCATTTAAAAATTATAGGTCAGAGTATCAGTCTAAGAAAAGACCCCTGGGCCCAGATATTTTGGTTCTGTTGCTCTCCTTGTGGAGCTCCTGTCCTCTCCAGTTCTTTCCTCTCCCCCTTCTTTCATAAGATTCCCTTCACTCTGCCCTAAGTTTGGCTATGAGTTTCAGCCTCTGCTTTGATACTCTGCTGGGAAGAGTCTTTCAGAGACCCTCTGTGGTAGGCTCCTGTCCTGTTCTCTGTTTTCTCCCTCTTCTGATGGCTATCCCTTTTGCCTTTCTGAATGAAGATTAAATATCTTACCCAGGGTCCTCCTTCTTGCTTAGCTTCTTTAGGTGTACAGATTTTAGTATGTTTCTCAACAAAGGATGATGCATGGAAATAACCTAGAACCTTGGCACAGATGTGGCCCATGACAGCTCAGTATCCAAGTGGGTTCTAGTAAGAAAAACAGGGTCTGTCTCTGACATGAACTCAGTGGGCTGGCTCTTTGATCACCTTCCCCTGAGGGGGGAGCAGCCTTACCAGACCACAGAGGAAGACAATGCAGCCAGTCCTGATGAGACCTGATGGGCTATGGTCAGATAGAAGGAGAGGAAGACCTCCCCTATCAGTGGACTGGGGGAGGGGCATGGGAGGAGAATGGGGAGGGAGGGTAGGACTGGGAGGAGACAAGGGAGGGGGCTACAGCTGGGATATAAAGTGAGTAAATTTTAAGTAATAAAAAAAAATAAATTTTAAAAATTACAGGTAAGTACAAATTTAAACAAACAGGCTTTACCGTCATCCTTATTAAAGACTGACACACCTCCAGGAAAAAAAGGTTCAGTTAGGAATGGCCACGAAAGGTAGAACATGGGGAATCTGCCAATGGGAGAGGGTTTTTGAGTTCAACTGTGAGATGCTTGGGTTTGGGAGGGGTGGGTGTGGCTGTTGACTGGTGGAAGTGTGAGGGGAAAAAATGGTTAGAAACAAAGTAAGAAGGGGGCAGGGAAATAAGCTAACGAGAGACTCAGGCGGAGCTACAGGAGAGGGGATACTGTCTGACAAGGCTGATGGCTAGGTACAAGTGTATCCTTAGAAATGAGGCCAGTGTCCCAGGACTCCACCTAAGTGAAAAGAGTGTCCCAGGAAGTCGCTGGCTATTTGGGAGTCTTCTTCCAAATGGCATCCCTCATAAGTGCCAGCACACAGTGCTTCATACAGTTAGGGAGAATTTGCCAGCATCTGTTTGCCTCGGACCTCGGACGGTGGAACCTGCCCCACTCCCTGCCCCACAGATGCCTGGGAAATAAAACTGGTGATGCGGAGCCAGGAGAGCTTTGATACAACTCCTTTTAGACAAAGATTTATGTATGAATCACTGGTAAAGAGTGCCTTTTGTTGTACCCAAAAGGTCAAGGACTGAACGGGTCACAGGACAGGCACATTTTCCTGATGGAACCGAGGGAGTATGGGAAGTCTGTGCACAATGGGGAGCGCAACACACCCCGCTTTTCACTCCCTCTCAGAATGCAGCAACCATAAGCAACACTTTATTCCATGTTCTTACTTTTTAAAAAATATTTATCTGTAGGAGTAGGCTCTGTGGCTTTTTTTGTTTCTAACTGTGTTCCAACCCCAACGATAAAGGAACAGAGCAGAATAGAAGTCACTTGTTCAGAGGGAGTTGGAGTTGCAGTGTTCTGTGGCTGCAGAATGTGTATTGTGGGGGCAGAAAAAGACCAAAACACAAAACAAAAATGAAGAGCCTGTGCCTTGTTTTGCGCGCTGTAATGATAATGGACCACGCTAATGTCAAGCTCTGTTGACAGGCAGATGGTGTCGTGAATTCCATCTTGAAAGTGCGCTGCTCTCAGGTTCTTGAGGAGCAGGAGTTGAGGTGGTTCCTTTGAGCTCCCTGCTTTAAATTCAGACAATGCCACTGGGAAATGTGCTTGTGAGAACAGAACACTTAAAACAACAACAGAAGCACCAACCAGGTGTTACTTACAACTGTCAGATCTGATTAAGAAGCTGACATTTCAGTTTAGGAAGTGGGAGTCTACTTTACCTGTGGATGGCTAGGAAGGGACGTTGAGGATGAAGATGTGTTTTATTTATAACCAAACATGTAGGGCTTATATGGAGGATCTAAGCCAGACTTGGTGCCCCATATGCAGACAGCTGAATGAGAGAAGGGGTCTGTTCTTGGAGACGCTGGTGTGCAGAAGGCAAGCGATGGCCTGGTTCCAAGTTATTTAAACTGAGTTTAGCACTTTGGATGCTGAATCTTCCCTGATTATCCGAGAAATCTGCTTCAGCATCAAGCATATGCAAACTCCTTTTCTATCTAATCCCTATGAAAAGGTTCTGATCTGGATGCTACTTCTTGGTCCTTTTCAGGTCAGGACAAGACCTGTGTGTACCTTCTATCTGCCCACTGATGCCACCTTCCTGGTGAGAAGTTCAGCTCACACCTGGGGAGTGGCTAACCCCTGCCACTGAGCACCAAGGCAAAGGGCAGTTACATAAGACACATTTACATTTCACACGTATATCTGCTACTTGGTGGAAACTGGCCAGCAGCAGAGAGAGCTCACACAGAATCCTGATAAAACATCACCGCTGTGGTTTTAGCGGCTAGACTCTGGATGTTTCATTCTTTTCTTAAAATTTAGTTGCTACTATTACACACACACACACACACACACACACACACACACACACAAAGGGGCAAAACTGAAGGTAAGAGATTCAAAGCAGAAAGGAAGGCTAGTTTTTCTGGAGTGAGCGTGTTCTACTTAAGCCAGGTTTGGGATCGGCTTTACAGCTTTGCTCCTTGGGGCCGAGCCTATCCCTGGCCTTGGCGGGAAGGGCAGTTACTGTTACAGGGCGTCCTTTGTGCTCAGGGAAAGCTCTTCTGGGACCCACGCGATGAAAGGACAGGGACACAGAAGATATCAGCTGGGCAAGGAATTCCCACAGGCTTCCTTTCATGTGGGGCAGATGTCACTAGCACCCACCGGAACACGTGTGACTCATGAACCTGGGCCTCACGGTCTCCTTTCTGTGGCCCACTGGACATGGGCCCTGAGAGA